CATCGCAAGCGTAGACTTGGTGTTGCACGCGCCGGCCTCCACGCGCCAAGCACGCAAAATTCTGTCAAACGCACCTCTGACCTGAATTCAAATACTTTGCGGAGTCCTGGGCATTTCCCCCAGCAATCGCCGTCCCAGACTGGCGATGGGAATCAGAGGGTTCTTTTTCGTTTCCTTCACGTGTACAATTGGCCTCGTTAGGCCGGCAGGGTGGGTGGGAGCATGGGACGTTCTGAACCCCCCGCTGTACACTGCATCTCTCCGCTCCTCCTCCGGTCTCATTGTCGACGCTCCCGTTCGATGCTGCACCGTAGGCAATTTGGCTCGAGGAGCCCTCGGGGGCGAATCACGCAGCCTAGTTCTCACTTCGCTTGAGGCTCGATCAGAAGCCAGGGCCAACGCACTCTGAAGACGGGCCGAACCCAAACGGTGTTTTGCGTTTTCGTTATGTTTTCGTTTTCCCTCGTTTTGTCTTTGATCCGCCTTCGCCGCAAAACGAAGCCGGAACGAAAACGGACCACGACATCGCCAAAGCACCGTTGAGGTCCACCCCTGCTCTGAAGGCGGAATGGCGGGGGCACGCGAGGCTGCCACGACTTGCCACCGAGCCAGCGCACGGGCGCACGGGGTGCCCACGAGGCGCCCACGGCGGCCCACCGGGCCACGCCTCGACGAAGTCGCCGCGCGCGAGCGGGGGCGGCCCTGGCCTCGACCCGAGGCGGCCTGAGCCGAAACGGCTGCTTACGGGAGGGGTGCGGGCCCAGCTCAGGGGGGGGGAACGTCGAGCCTGAAACGGCGATGCATCGCCGATAGATCGGCGATAGGCCCCCCGATAGCGAAACCGCGCTGCCTTGAGCGCGCAGGCTATCGGGCCTCTGTCGGCGATGGATGGGCGATTGGGGGTCGATGCATCCGCACCTGAGCCCTGGGCCGACCCCTCCAGCACGTTGCCCCTGACCGATCTGGACCTCCGGGGGTCTACAGGGTGAGGGAAATGTCGTCGGGAATCGGGGTCCTCTTCCTTCTCCTCCTCCACCCTCTCGTGGTCGCGCGCACAAGGGGTACGGGGAGGGGGGGAGGCGCGGGCCTTACACCCATAGGTAAGGCCCGCGCCTTCAAAGAAGCCGGGGTGCTTCTGATCTGAGAAGCCTCCCACCCTCCCGCTACCTCCTCTGCTCGGGGCGACGTGAGACTTCGACTAGGGGGACTCGGGTGGGCCCGACGGGGCCCTCATGAAAATGACGCGACTCAATCTGAAATTTGACGCGGGCTCCCGCTGCAGACCCCCCACGAAAACTGGACCGTCAAAATTAAGGACGGGGTCGTCAAAAAGCGTAGGCGAACCCGAGTTCCGACGTACTCGAGTCGTACGGTTCCCCGATCTGCGTTTGGCCGACTCCTCCTGCTCCTCCTCCGACTCCTCCGACTCCTCCACCCTCGTCCTTTGAGGTGACCCGTACAAGTCGTTCGGAAGAAGTTGGTAGAACCATAAAGCAAGAAGGCGTTGGAAGTAGATTGGGCGTCCGCCCGCCCCGAGGGCCCAAAATCCGATTAGCGGGAGGGGGGGAAGAGCTCGCCAACGATCCCGAGGGCTCTCCGGAGCCATCATCAAGGCCAAGACAGAGCGCCAAGGCAGTCGAAGAGAGCGCCATGCCCGCCCAGGGTAGCCCCCCGACGATCCAAGATGGCTGCAAGATGGCCCAGGAGGCCCCCAAGACAATCCCAAAAGCGCCTGCAGAGGATCGCCAAGAGGGCCCCAAGAGACCAAAACCATCCCGTTCCTTGTAGAGAGCCTACATGTTCAGCACACTCGCACGTTACGCCTTGGCAGCGAACACGACGGCCCAAATGGCCCCCAAGATCGTCCCAAGACGGCCCGTCATGCCTCCAAGGTGGTCCCAAGACGGCACAAGAGGGCCCAAAGACAGCGCCAGCGGCCCCCCCAGGCGGCCCGAAACAGCCCCTGGGGAGCCCCGAGAGGGCTCCATGAAAGCCGAAGGGGGGGAATACGAACTGACATGCCGAGCCTTTCCCACCAAGATGGCCTCTCGAGCCCCCAGAGAGGGCTCCCAGATGCCTTCAAGAGACCATCCAGAGGCCCCCACGAGGTCCCACAAATCCTCCCACATGCCCCAAACAGTTCTCCAAGAGGCTCCAAAGAGGCATCTGGAGAGAACCTCAGATTCATACCAGGAGGCTCCTGTCACAAGATGCACGACCGTCTCAAACACTCACTCCTTGTGAGGCCGGCAGAATAGCGTAAGCCACTTGAATGGATGGGACCGCCCGCCCCCTGAAGAAGAGGGAAAAAGAACCACCACTCGATCCTGGGCGTAGGAAGGCGCCGAAAGCAGAGTGGAATCTGGGAATCCAGAAATACCTACTTCGGAGGGCGTGCCTGTGGACGGAAGCATTCCCATAGATCGTCCACCCAATCCCTGGAGAAGGAGGAGAGGACGAGGGGGGGCCGGCAGATGAGGACATGTAGGAGCCTCCATTTTCCGCTCCCTGGAGGTCGGCACACCTGCCGCGGTGGGTGCGCCAAGAAAGCAGCAGGCCAGCCGACGGGCCGACTGGTTGTCTTGGACAACCAATCAGCCCTCCCCGAAGAGAGGTGAATTGCGGATGGCGTTAGAAGGGGTGGACGAGGGTGGGTGGTTCGCCGAATGTCCCCCCCCAAAGTCAAGCCAGCGGCAGCGCGGGGCCAGCAAACACCCCGACTGGGAAGGACGCCCAGCACCTGCGCCCCAGAGCATCTGGAACCCCCTGACACACCCCCGAAGCCCCTTTCCCGAAAGCGAGCTCCCTCGGAAAGGGAATCTTCCAACGACCGGCGTGTACAGTCGGACCTGGGCCAGAAGCACATCCCTCAAGAACATGAGAACCTCCGTCGGCCAAAAAACACAGTCCATCCCAGGAAGCACAAGAATATCGAGCAAGATCGACGAACACCAGGGCACCCTCCCCGAACCGCCCTCGATCGTATGCATCGGCCCGTCTGTACTCCGAGTTTCTCAATAAGCGTCGGGGGGGCGTCACCCCCGCCGACAGCCCCACATCGACCCCCGTCGCGGGCAGCCACTGCGCGCCGAAGGCGTTCCGACCCCCGTCGCGGCGCGACGAGGCGAGGTCGACCCCCGTCGGGGGGGGGACCCCCCGACGCTTATTGAGAAACCCAGAGTACCTAATTCCAACGACTGGCGCAGGAGAGCCCAGGATCGGATCGACAAGTCGGATCGGCGATCGACATGAATCGGATCGTCGGAAATCGGCAGCTGAGTCGGGAAAAGTCGGATCGGCAGAAATCGGCAGGCTAGTGTGCCTCCAATGAGAGATCGGAACTCAAATCGGAATCCTAGATCGAATCGAATCGGAATCGGAAACCATCGAAATCGAATCGAATCGAATCGGAGGAATCGAAACGAGCCCTGCCTGGCGTGTGGTCGGGGGGTCCAGGCTCCGAGCGGGCGGCAGGGCCGCGCGCGACGAAGGGCGCCGTCTCCCGCCAGCACGGGAAAAAGGAGGGGCAGGCGCTCCTCGTCGACGCTCGCCGGGAGGCGCGGTGCTCCTCCAACAGAGGATGTGTCGGCCCCATCTCCCCGATGTCGTGGGGCCTGCGAATTGAACGACAGTCTTGGGCCCAACCCTGGGATCTCTCTCTCTCTATATATATATATACACACATATATAGATATACCTATGTTTCTATTCACGTATAGCTGTATATGTGTATTCATGTGTGTGTGTATGATGGGGGGCGTGCGTCCTCGATAAAGGGGGGGTGCGTCCGAGTAGCCCCCCCTTGGGGTGCATCCCAGAAGTGCGTGCTTTTCCTGAGCGGCAAGAATTTTCGGGAGGAACTCGGGGATCGGGGGGGACAAATCGCCTGCGCCCTCCTCTCCTTCCTGCCTCACTCCTCGAAGTCCGATCTATCTCATGGTCCCATACGGCCCCCTGACATCCCGACGCCGTCCCCAGGGCCAGCTTTCCGGCCTGAGCCGCTCTGTTTGACGGGGGCCTGGTGGTGGCCCCCGCCGAGGCCGAAAAGGGCGTAAAACGTCTGCCATGTGAGCGTCATGACTGTGGACAACTTCCGGTCATGACGGGTCTCCGGATGCCACTCGGAGCGCTCCGCGCACCCCAGAACGCTCTCGCGAGAGGGCGCGGCTGCCGGCGAACAACCCGAGGCTGGAAGAGTCTCCGTGAACCTGCGAAGCGTGGAGCACGTCCCCCCGAGATCCGACGCCGCGACAAAACTGCAACCCATGAAAAAACACGACCCACGCCCAACACCCCATCGTCCTTCAATACTTTCCGGAGCAGACAGATCAATGGCGCCCAGGGGCTCAAGCGAAACCGACCGGCATCAAGGAAGACTGCGACGCCAGGGTCCCGCCGACATGTTTTCAATGCGCGGCCCCAGGAGCATGACCCCTTCCACGACCCCGATCCATTGCAGTCACCCTGCTGCGAGACGCGTGATAATGAACGAAAGGGCTCTCCAGGCCACGGCGCGCGCGCCTAGGCCACACACAAGTTCCACAACGTAAATCAGAGAAACGGCCCGAGAACCCAGCCCACTCCTGAGTTCAAAGCGGTCCTCGTTTCGGCGCCTTGACTGTAAGTCTATTCGCGGCACCAGGGCCCAAGAATCTGGCGGCGCGTACAAGGGGGTGGAGGGGGGTGGAGGTGGGGGGAAGGATTCTGAGAAGGAGGCTGCTTCTTGGAAGGCGCTGGCCTTACACCTATAGGTAAGGCCCGCGCCTTCTAAGAAGCGGGGGTGCTTCTGATCTGAGAAGCCTCCCCTCCCCCCCCCTGCCCCCCTCCGCGCGTGGCGGGACAACGGGCCCCACGAGGCCGACATCGGGCACAGAACTCCCTGGAGGGAAGCATCGTAACATCGGCGATCTGGGGGGCCTCCGACCCCCCTTCTGGGGGAGGCCCCGCGCGCGCGGGAGGGGGGCGGAAGCGAGCGCGCGGGTGGACGGCGCCCCGCGCGCCTCCTGTCGATCAAAGGCCGCTGTCCTCCTCGTCGTCCGCGATGAGCCCACGCGCCACGACCAGGCCGGTGACGACGAGAACGATCACGACGATCACCTCGGGCCGGGGGGAGGGGGCTCGCTCACTGGGCCTCGCCGGTTCAGCTCAGCTTCGCCCCTCCTGCTGCACCTGAGGACCGTGGGCAGGGACAGCAACCCATACTGGCTCGCCCGAGGTGGGCACGACGGCCAATCACACCTGCTGTCCGAGCACCGACATCGGCCGCCGTTGTGCAGGCGTTTGCCCTCTCAAGTGGAAGCGTTCGCGGCGGCGCCACCTGCGAGTCCTGCTGCTAGGACAAGGAGAACTGCTGCCAGCCCTCGTTCCCGCTCTTCCGATACCAACGTCCACCGTGTCAACGATACCGACCAGCCACAACTCCGAGAGCCGTGTGGCCTGCGCTCCTGGGGGAACCGTGCCGACGATCTCCCGAGAGGGACGTCGCCACTTGCCCCCTAGGAGGGTAAGGACCCCAGCCCCACAAACTGTGGCTGGTCTGTGATGTGCTGCCCCTTCCGCGCACAGAGGGGCAGAGGGAAGAAGGCGTCTTAGAAGCAGGGGTGCTTCTAAGAAGCCTTCCTCCCTCCCGCTCCCCCCCCCCTCTGCGTGTGTCTGACGCCCGGAAGATGCAGCGGCTGCACCTGCCTGCGCGGCGGCCCAGCCGCCCAGCACAGTGGGCGCACAGTGGGCGGGCAGGTCACGAATTCGGATATCCAGGGAAACATCAATCAACACCGAAATGCCACAAGCAGTTTCCGCGACATTAGTTCAAGGAACGGCACGACACTCCGAGCCCATCCTGAGCCCAAAACTGTCCTTATTTCAGCATGTTGACTGTAGGTGCGATCCAGGGCGATCTTCTTCAATCGTGGATCCGCCGGAAGACAGCAACTGCGTAAACTCTCGGAGGTCCGCGCGGATTCCATGGATCGGCGCTGGCCCCTCTCCTCCGCGCCAGGAGCGCCGCCAGGGGGGACCCCGTGCCGACACCAGGTGTCCGCGCGGGCCTCAGCCTCCCTGGCCAAGCCACGCACCGATCCTGGGCCCAGAAGGGGCCTGGTCAGGATCAGTGGTGCGCAGCTGGCGTCCCGCGGAAGGCGACGGCGAGCACCACGGAGCGCGTGGGACCGCCTGCCCTTCGACTAAGGGATCGACTACAGAATCGATGCTCCCCGATATTGATCTTGTCCGTCGGACCTACGGCTAGTGCGTAGAGTGCTCCGTAGACCTCGGAGCGTCCCGCGTATTTCTCGTCGACCCATCGGGTACAAAACAGTTTTGGGTGGATCAACTCTGTAGTCGATCCCCTGGTCGAGCCCTCGCCACCAGCGGGGTGCGACAACGAACGCCGACTGCGCGGGGGGGGGCGGCGGGAGAAGCGGGCGGCGCGGGTCAGGCGGGGGGTCGCCGACAGGAAGCCGATGCCCAGCACGGGCTCCTGTGGACGGGAGGCCGACGACGGCGGCGACGGCGGGAGGGCGCCGGAGGGAGGAGGACCAAGGCCCTGCCCCATCACTCTAGAGCAAGAAAAAAAGCCAACTAAACATAAACCGTTGGTGCTCCGCGCGGGTTTCTTGGATCTGCGCTGGACCCCCCTCCCTGGCGCGCGGCGCGCGCGCGGCGAGGGCGCCGCTGGGGGGGCCCAGCGCGGATCCAAGAAATCCGCGCGGAGCGGCAACAGTTTATGTTCATGCTTTTTTGTTATTCGGCCCTCCCTAAGACGAAGCCAAGGCGACGATAACATCTGGCAAGGATGAATCGAGAATCTCTGAGATCCGGAGGTGCTGGAGGATGTCTCGGGCGCCGCGGCCCTCTCAGAGCGCTCCAGAACGCTCTGGGAGCGTTCCAGAACGCTCTGGGAACGGCCGCAGACGCCCGATTCGTGGCACGAAAACCACGAGGCGTCAAAGAGGGTGGTGAACGCTACGGTAGTTTCATACGGCATCGGCGCGCAGGAGACGCCGGCCATGGCGTTCAAGGTTGAATTCTGCGACGCGGAAGCACCGATGGACACGGTAACGCCACTGGACCCGACTGAATTCAACCTTGAACGATCGGGGCCGCGATCGACGCAAGCTTGAACGATCGACGCAATGTCAAACTGAATTGCTCGCGCAGACGCCGCACGAACCTACCGTAGGGGTGTGTGGATGCCATGGGCGGGGCAACGATCTCTCGCACAAATCCCATGGCTCCCTCTCCTTTCTCACATTTCTGCAGTCGCCGTGGCGCCCCCCTCCTGGGCACACGCGCCTCGTCCTTCCGCAGGTCTCCAACCCGGGCAAAGATGGGGAATGACTGGCTCACGGGAGAGCGGCATCGACCCTCGATCGCCCACCCATCGCCACCCCGCCCAGGAACGTGCGGTGTCGCTCCCGGGGCCCTATCACCCCGATCTACCGGCGACGCGTCGCACATTCAAGACTGATGCTCCCCCCCTGAACTGGCCCCGCCCGAACGCTCCCCCCTCCCAGCGCGCTGAACAAACGGGTCGACACGGCGGGTTTTGCTCAGCCGCCGCCGGTCGCCATCGCCGGGCCCCGCGGGCGTCGAAAAGCAAAAGCGGCCCAGGCTGCACAGCGAGCCCCTGCGGAAAGTGGGCGGCGCGGCGGGGGGGGGGAAGTGCGAGGGGGCAAGCCTTCCCAAAGGCGTCCGAGCCTCTCAGGAGCCCTCCGGCCTCCTGAGACGCCCTCCGAGGCCTCGAAGGAGGCCGAGACACATTTTGTTGAGAAGGCTGTAGGAAGGCAACGACTATACACCAACACCGATCCTGGCCAGAATCACCCTGGGCCAGGAACGGTGTTGGTGTATAGTTGGTGCCCTCCGAGGCTGGCGGCCTCTCCCGAGCCTCCTCAGAAGGCCCAACAGCACCTGCCTTCCCCATGGGCGCGCCGCCGGGAGGGGCTCTGGTGCGGCGACGGGACGGTTTACCACCCGGGAGCAGATCCCTATCCCTATGATTGGCATCACCTGATTCGGATGCCGATCTTCAGGATTTGCTCGGCTTCTGAAAGCGCGTCCCTGGAATTCTCATCGCATCCGTGCTTGTCTATCTGATGGGTAGGGGCAGTTTCGTGGCTGGTTAACGGTGAGGCCAAGGATAGAGGTCTCCTAGATGGGGTCCGAGTGGATCGGGTTGCAGGATCTCGCCGATACATCGGCGATGCATCGGGGATGCATCGGCGACGACGGCGTGGAGAAAATTTTGCCCCACATCGAGCCGCATCGCCGATGCATCGTCGATGCATCGGCCATGCGGCGCGATCCTCCGACCCCATCCACTCCAACCCCATCTGGGAGGCCTAGAATCAAAGGGATGAAGTCAGGTTCGTGGCTGGTTAACGGTGAGGCCGAGGAGCTCTCGTCGCCGTCGCCGTCGCTGTTCGCTCCTATTTCGGGCCTCCAGGGCCCTGCCCGCCGTCTTTTGGGCACCGGGGCGTGGTGGCAGCCGCTGCGGGGTGAGAAATGCAAGTTGCCCAGATGGGAGCCCAGGGGTCTCGGGGGAGGGAAAGGCACAGTGTGAGCGCGGCCGGAAGAAACCCTCGCAAGAAACCCAGCCCTGGAACCCGCAGGCTCGAGATGCACGCGGGATGGGAATCCGCAGCACCCTGGCGCGGAGCAAAGACACCCAGGGCACCCTGACGAAAAACAATTGGTTTCTTGATGCGCGCCCACACTGTGCACAGAACGCTACCTTTGCCTCGTGTTCCCCTTTTTGGGCCTCCTGGGAGGCCCTCGTCGCCAGCGTCGAATTCGCCTCAAATTTCTTGTCAGAACGCACCCTGGAAGAGGTCCAGGGAGTAGTGGTATCGGTACCGTCTGGCTCCCCCAGAGCCAGTATCGTTCAACGGATCCTATCCCCAGCCCCATCCCCCTCCCGACCCCCACCGTCCCAACACCCAAGATAGGATATGCCCCTGGAAACTCGAATGGGTCAACCACCCGTATCTATGAGTATATATATATATATTTATATGAGTGTGTGTGTACTCGTCTAGGGGGAAAATCGGTCAGCGGAGCCCAGGCCACGCCCGTGGGGACGGGGAGCGGTCAAACGATGCTCAAATAGAGGCCTGGGGACCGATCGTGAGCGGGCATCTTCGGAAGGGGGCACTGTCATCGGTGAGTCCAAAAGGCTCGCAAGATATGGCTGCGCGGCCACTTCCCGCTGGACACCTGGGGCATGCCGGAGAACTTCTCAATTCGAGCGTCGGCGGCTGTGGACCGCGCGGCAAGTGCGTGCACGCATGTGCACCTGACTAGGCTACAGAGCAAGTCCTGCGGCTGAATACGGCAGTCCCTACAGCAAGCGAGCGCGGAGGGGCGACTGCGACGACGTCACTGCGACGATTTCGACTGCGACTTCGAAGTCGTCGCCGTTGTCGTCGCCGTCGCCGTCGTCGTAGTCGTCGCCATAGTCGTTGCCGTCGCTGAACAGTCGCGGTCGCGTCGTCGCCGCAGTCGCCGACACCGTGGTCGTCGCCGTCGACGTCTTCGTCGCCTTCGCCGCCGCCGCCGTCGTCGTCGTCGTCGTCGTCGTCGTCGTCGTCGCAATCGTGTCGTCGCCCCAAGGCGCAGCTGCTGGAAAGCATCCGTAGGCTAGAGGGCCTCCTCACCACACCATCGTGGACCCTCCTCTCACCTTCGCCGTTCGTCTGGCTTTCAGGTCATCGCTCGGGCCTTTGGCGGCCGTTCGGGACGATCCGGCGCCCCCAGAACGTTCCCGACGAGTCGCAGCCGCCGAGAACCGACGAAAACTCCCGAAAATATCCAATCTCGAAACCAACATCCGAATCCCCATGGACTCACCGCACCATCTGGGGGCTCCAGGGTCGACCGCGGCGGCGTGGCCGCGGGGGAGGAGGAGGAAGAGGAGGAGGAGGATGAGGACCAGTGTACACCGAAGACCAACGATATTGCAATAAATCCTCCCTCCAAGTTCCCTCTTCATAGGCTCATAAAAGAATTCATGCTCACTGAGGGAAGTGTCCCGTTGGAAGACCTATGTTTGAATATCCTGAACAATGCCTGATCATCATTCTTGATTCTTGAGACTTCAACACCATCACCTTTACGGTTGCGCCTTGACGATCCTGGACCGTGCCAGAATATCATTGCTGGGACTCAAACAGCGCGAATCAACGTGACTGTTGTAACGTTGGGAACCCTTGGAACTGCTGCAAACTCGTAAAACGAATGTGCGGAACGCTCAAACGAGAACCAAACTTTACAACGGAACCGCCCTGCATCCGTGAAACCCGCGTTAAACAAACGAACGTGCGCGGCGTTCAAACGAGAACCAAATTCTGAAAACGGTCCGCCCTCCATCCTTAACCTGCTGCGAACTGTTCACACGAATGCGCGCGGCGCTGAAGCGAGAATCACATTTTGAAAGCGGTACGCCCTCTATCCGTCAAACTGTTGCAATTTCTGAGCTTCAAGAGCATAAGTGGCGTCTCAGGCGAAACACCCGGCCCGCCCGTTCGACTGGCCTCGGGGTGCGACAGGGAGGAACTATTCTCAAGGAGGAGGGATGGAGGAGGAGGAGGAGGAGCAAGCAGAAGAGGAGAACGGAGAGGAAGGGACCCGAGGGGAGCCCCATCCACCCTCCCTTCCCTCTCCTCGTCCCTCGTCCCTCCCCTGGGAGAGGGCGACGAAATCTGTACATATCCACTGCTCCCTGGCCAGGCCCATCCTCAACCCCGCAGCGGTGTATACGCCACGCCCTCCTGGCTTGGCCAGGAGGGCGTATACACAGCTCCTGGGTTCAGGAAGGGCCTGGCCAGGGAGCAGTGGATATGTATAGACTTCGTCCCCCGATGGGAGAGGGCCCCCGAGGGGAGGGCCCACGGCGGCGCGGCTGCGGGCGGCTCCGGGATCGGCGTCTCGGCCGTCGCTGCCAGCGGCAGGCCGAGGGCGGCGCCCGCGGCGGCGTGGCGCAGCTGCTGCGGGCGGGCGGCGGCCTCCTGCAGCGCGGGGGCGCGGCGCAGAGGGCGCCGCCGCTGCCCACGGCCCCCTCCTCTGCCCCATCACTGCTTCCCTGGCCACGACTCTGCGTCCACCTTTTCTGCCACCTCGTGCTCCTCCTCCTCCTCCTCCTGTGTGTCCCACCTGCAAATTCCTCCCTGTTCCACCCTGCCCCACGTCATCACTCCACCTGCTCCTCCGCCGACCCCTCTAGCTACAGATCTCTCAGGAGACCCCACGCGAGAGAGGCCACGGGCGGTCCCAGGAAGACGGGCCGGCGGGCCCCAATTAGGGCCCATCGGGAGGGATCTCGAGGTCCGAAATGTGGCGACGGGCAGCCACATCACGCGCGGACCTCCCGAAGGCCCGAGCCTCTTCGGAAAGGCCAGAGAGGGCCATCCTGATCTGCAAGTCAACTCCGATGGGGCCTCACCTGCTCAGGCGGGCCTCACTCGGCGCCCCTGGGAGCCATGGGGAGGAGTAGAACCGGTAATGGAGAGAAAGTTCCACCACCGATCTTTAGCACGCTCGCCAGGCCCCCCAACAGTGCGAGGACGCCGTGCTCGACACTGGGAAGGGGATCCTCCGCCGACCTCCTCCTCCTCCATCGTTTCCTCGTCCACCTCTTCCACCTCCCTCCTCATCCGATATCCATCATTCCTTCCTCACTTCGCTCCCGCCTCACTTCCCCCTTCCTCTTCCACATCCTCCTCTTCCTTCTGCTCCTCCCGGCCCAACATGTACGGCTTCTGCATCCTACAATCACGTTTATCCGCAGGAGTCACGATGCTGCCAGGGTTGCCTTACCGCCGATCGCTCTCCCCTTCCCCCTCTGGCATCGCCCCCCTCCTCCCTCCTTCTCCAGGCCCTCATCGACGGTAACGACCCACCATGTTGCCTCGGACGACGCAGCTCCTCGACGACGACCACCACCACCACGCCCCCCGGCGGCGGCAGCAGCGGCGGCGGCGAGTGCGACGAGGACGCGGGCCAGCCCAACGGCCGAGGCGGCCAGGACCCGCGCTGGCGACGTTGGCATGAAGGAAGCAGACCCTGATGGAAACACGCCCCCAGGGCCAGGACCTGGACCCCAGGGGCACTCCCAGGGACCAGCTTCCAGGCCCGGCACTCCCAAGGCCCCGGCGAGCCCACAGGCGGCAGAAAACCTCACGAGCCGTTTCCCTCAGGGCCCCTCTCCCATAACATCCGACGATCAGGTTGTTTCAAAACTCGACCCCTTCTTGAACGCGCTGCTTCTTCAGCCAGCTGCAAATACAGGCGATGCGTTCTTCAGTATAGTATAGCAATGGCAACATATCGAGCGATGTGCTTATTTTGGGCATGGACCGTTCATACAAACCCATCGGCCCTGTCGGCCAGTGGAAGACACTCTTCCGTTCGTCGTCGTCGTAGTCGTCGTCGCCGTCGCCGCTCCCCCCCCTTTCCCTAGGCCCTCCTCCTCAATCGCGCCGGCCAAAGCGAAATTGAGCAACGTCGTCTCAAATCCAAAATCCAAAATCATCCTGGGACCGTTCCGGGGTGATTATTGGAACCTGAAACGGGTGATGGTCAATCTGGGCCGCTATCAGAGCCCTTATGGGATCCTGTTCCAAGGTGATTACCCATCCGGGAAAGACGGCCCTCGAACAAGAGATTACATCTGAAGAATGCGAGCTTTTTGGGCTTGGATGCGCCCGCCCCCAGGTCCCCGAGAGCGCTTGCTGCACTGGGGAATGCCCAGATGGAACATCACCCCGGAGCCGTTCCAGGGTGATGTTCCACCCGAGGCGCCCGTGGAGCAGCAGGCCCTCGCGGGGGTAGAAGGGCGGCGGGTGTCCGAGCCCACACTCAATCGCCACTTCCCAATTGAAACCTTCCATTGGGAGGCCTTTTCTCTCCGCTGGGCCCTCCAACTGGAGCTCGGAAACGCCCCAAATTGAAAATCGGCTCGGAACCTTTCCAAGGTAATTTTCCGTTTGGGCTCCCCACAAATGCAGCAGGCGCTCTCGGGGATAGTGGGGATGTTCCCGAGCCAAGATAATAATGATAATGTTCAGCATGCGATGTTTTATTGGCTTGGTTCTCCTTAAACCTACTCAGGAAGTGTGTTTTACAGATTTGTTTCTCACTCGGCGTGTTGGAAACAGGTTGTGTTGCGTTCTTAGGTCGCAACAAGAAGACCAACACCGCTGAGAACAAACGATACATGTCCTTGCGTGTTAGCGACGGCTTAAAACGTTTTCAGAGCAATTGGTGGCATTGTTGAACTATGCCGTCTACGATGTCCTCGGTTCCTTCTCCTCGCATGCAGTCCCCCCCAATGTCTACATTACACCTATGATGTTCCGCTTGCTCTCCTCTTGACCTCGCTGATGGCTTCTCGCGGAGGCCCAGGCGCGCCCTCCTGCCCTCTCAGTCCGACTGCTCGCCGTCCACTAAGCCCCTCCTGGGGCGTCGAGCCTCAGGGCCCGATGGCCGCCTGCCCCTCCTGGGGCCATCGGGCCGCCGGGCCTGTCCCGTGCTGGTGTCAGATCAGTCTTAGAGCGTGTTTGGTGTTGTTGTTGCTGCTGCTGTTGTGGTCGTTGTTGAACCCTCACTACTGAAGAAACTGTAGTGCTGTCTCCCCCCCTCCGGTGCACACTGATTTTTCAATTGAAGTGCCCCTCCCGGCGCTCGCACCCTGTTTTTTTTAATCAGGGATAGTCTTCCTCATCAAACTGGGCCCCTAGCCCCCGGTTTACAACAACAGCGGCTCCCGCTTGATACACTCAAAATTTACTCCGGTCCCCCGCTCCCGCTTGAGACTTCTTCGCAACTTACTCGAGAATCGGACTCCAGCCTGAGACTTCCTCGCAATTGACTCAGGCGCATTGCTTTTGCCATTCAGGAACCGCGCGTTCGCTGGGGACTTCTGTAAGTTTACTTAGGAATCGCTCTCTCGCTGGAAACTTCCTGGCTGATCACGCAGAACTCGCGAAGAAATATACCCACCAAAAGTGGTATCATCGAATACGAAGAGGGCGGGTATCGCGGGTTCGGGAAATGCGCGCTGAATGGCTCTCGAGCAGACAAGAGCGAACAGTCTTAAAATGGTTGGAGTTGGTGTTGCTTTTACTCCTGAAAGAAAAACGGCAGCAGCAAAAGGGAACAACCTTCGACAAGAGAACAAAAACGCTAAAACAACTATGATTCTCAACGACGGGCCAAAACACGCGAACTAAAACCTAAAACACGTTAAACACCGTCGAGTTTTGGCTGTTGTGTGTTGGATTGTGTCACAAAGGCCAACATGTAAGACGTAAAACAAACGCCGAGGGCGGTTCCAAGAGAAACCCGGCTTATTGAGAAATCTTATCTATCGGCTGGGCCTCCCCAGCTGACATCCGGAAGCGCCCTACATGAAAGATCCCCCCGAGTCACCCCCCCACCGCATTTGCCGCCCTCGAATCCACGCGCAGGCCAGCGCTCGGGGCGCCCCCGTTCGGAGGTTGCTGGAGGTGCTCGTGGCCCAAGGTGCGCCCCGCTTTTCGCGCCAGCTTGGGGCCCCTGAGTCCCAGAGGGCCCGGCGAGGGGCGCTCTGGAGACCGTGGGGGCCTCCACGGAGATCCTGGGGACGCCCTGGGCCAGGGACACCCTCCGGGATCTCCAGCGAGGGATCACGCGGGCGAAGGCTCCAGGGGGGGGGGAACGCCGTCCCTCAATCGGCGGTAGATCGCCCATTGATCGGCGATTGGCTCCTGCTGGCGAAAAGGCACGTTCCGAGGCGGCGTGGGCCATCAAACCCCCCATCGGCGACGAATGGGCGACTGAGGGTCGACGCGCCCCCCCACTGAGCCCATCCCCATCCCCGACGGTGTGCAGGCCAATACTCCGGCCTCCGGCGGCCCGCTCGGAACGATCCAGGCGACCCCGCAACGCCCGCACCAGGGCGCAGATGCTGGGGAGAGCACCCCGCGGCTGGAAAGCCGCGGAGGCGCGACGAAAACACCTGAGAACCTGGAACCTCGAACTCAACTCGCCCAAATCCCCCACCGGCTCACCGCAGCATCTGGGGGTCCCCCGGGGCGTGGGCCAACCGCGGCGGCGCGGCCACGCTTTCTTACTCGGCGAAGGGGCCTGCGTGCTGGAAAAGGTGAAATGTATAATGCACCATCGCTCGGCAGTCCGCTCCCCGTGCATGTTTCGATTTCGCGTATTCTTTTCCGCTCGATGATCCAGGATGATCCTCGATGGTCCTCGCAAAGAAAAACGCACACGTCCGAGCGATGTAAAGGCAAGACAGTCGCTAGACCCCATCAGGTCCATGTTCTCTCTTTCGGCGGCGCGTCTGGGGCACGCTCGGCAGCGCTGCTTGGGACAGGCCAGCGGAGCGGCTGGATATTCGCTGGTCGCGGCCACGGGGGGAGGAGGAGGAGGCCCTTTCTCGGCTAAGATGCCGATGCTTCTAAACCCCACGGCTTTGCAACGAGGCCCGCGCTGATGACTTGAGTACCTGTGCGACCCCAGCGAGCAAGAGCCTAAAATGTTGCGGACAGGACCGCGATTGAAGACGGCAGGCGCGACGGGCGAGAGAGAGAGAAAGAGAGACCACAGAGAGAGCAGAGAGGGACATCGGCGGTGGCGAGCTCCGTACCAGAACGCCCGAAAACCTCAAACCTCGAACACCTCCCTGGACCTACAGTCAGGCTCGATTGTAGAGGACACGCGGAGAGGACACCATATCCTTGCGAGGGCCACGTTGCCATTGGAATGTAGAAGGCATGAGTCTCGAAACACAGGAAGCAAGGGCACCCTTAATTTGGCAGGGTCGACCACACATCACGAAGCACTGAAGAACCCCCCATGGCCTGGACCTACAGTCAGGCTCGATTGTAGAGGACACGCGGAGATGACACAATATCCTTGCGAGGGCCACGTTGCCATTGGAATGTAGAAGGCATGAGTCTCGAAACACAGGAAGCAAGGGCACCCTTAATTTGGCAGGGTCGACCACACATCACGAAGCACTGAAGAACCCCCCATGGCCTGGACCTACAGTCAGGCTCGATTGTAGAGGACACGCGGAGATGACACAATATCCTTGCGAGGGCCACGTTGCCATTGTAATGTAGAAGGCATGAGTCTCGAAACACAGGAAGCAAGGGCACCCTTAATTTGGCAGGGTCGACCACACATCACGAAGCACTGAAGAACCCCCCATGGCGTTATCGTTAGCTCCGAACTGAAAATGAGTAATTCGCGGGGTCGGATATAAATTGACGATATTTGTATCACCGCACCAAACCGCAACAAATAAAACATGGTACCCCCCGCGACCGACATCTATAGTAAGGATGAGCGGTAAGAACGCAAGACCCTTGAACACAGAAGATGGCGAACTGCCATCGCCCTGAAGGCTGGCCAGTGAAAACTCCTCTTCCTCCTCCTCCTCCTCCTCCTCCTCCTCCTCCTCCTCCATCCCCTCCTCAGGTTGCCAGGATAACGCTTCAGGGTGCCTGGTGCGCTATCCTTTCACTGAAGGGGGGTTCTCAATCGCTTCATGAGGCTACTCATCCACCTGGACTGCATCTCCCCCGAGGTTGGACGCCCGAGCTCACTGGGATCACTGCGGTCCGGGATAACGAGCGAGGGGCCTCGTAGGGCACGGCAAGGCCAGGACAGGGGCGGCATCGTCGAGCTTGAGCTGGGAGGAGCGAGGAGGAGGGGGGAGGAGGAGGAGGAGGAGGAGGAGGAGGAGGAGGAGGAGGAGGAGGAGGAGGAGGAGGAGGAGGAGGAGGTTTGGGCCCCCGAGGCGCGAATCTGTAGCTAATTACCCCTGACTGCCCGCAGGCCTGCCGATCAAGGCGGGCTGGACGCCCGAGCTCTCCGGCGCTCATCTGCGGTCTGGGCCCCCCGAGGCGCGCCTCTGCAGCTGGCCCTCACCGCCCCCCGCCCTGATGATTCGGGGCTCCGACGAGGGTTGGCGCCGCGCAGAGGGGGGGGGTAGGGGGGAAGGCTTCTTAGAAGGAGGCTGCTTCTCAGAAGGCGCCAGCCTGACATCTGTAGAGAAGGCCCGCGCCTTCTCAGAAGCAGGGGTGCTTCTAAGCAGCCTTCCCCCCCTCCCCCTAAAATACCCCCCTGCGCGTGGCCGACTGATGACTCGGGACTCTGACCAGGGCGCGGCTCCGCGCCCACGCCGCCGAGGGCGGCGGGCACGAAGGCTGGGGCGCCTGCCAGCAGCGCGGCAACGCCCGCGAGGCACAACGCCTCGGCACAGCCGCGGCCCGGGGCCGGCGCCGCCGCCGCCAGCCCAGCCCCGCGGGGCCGCGCGCCGCCGCCGCCGCCACGGCCGCACGTCGCCGCGGCCGCCGTCGCTGCCGTCGCCTCCCCAGAGATCCGACGCTCCCCCCAAAAAACTGGAGCTGCCGGTTTTTGCCTGTTTTCGGCCTGCGGGGGCCCTTGACCCCTGGGATCGTCAAAAACCGATTCAGGACGACAAACCAGTGGTCTTGGGGACGTGGTCCAAACCTCCCGGGCCCACGCACCGACAAAAATTGGAGCAGCCGGATGTCTGGGGCCTCTGAACGGCTGGGTGAGGAGGCGGGGGGAAGACGCGGGATGAAGAGGGAGGGGCGGAGGGGAGGCTGGCCCGGCGTCGCCGCAGGTCGTCGCCAACGCCAGCGACGTGGCCGCCACCAGCCAACGCCGCACGTCGCTGCGGTCGCCGTCGCTGCAGTCGCCGTCGCCTCTGGACGGGGGGCTTCAGGAGCGAATGAAGAACGTGCACGTGCATGATCCACGCTGGTTTCGAAAGTGCGCATTGCGCGTACGTTTGCACCACGAGGCTGATATCGGACTGGGGGCCGCATTCATGCACGTGGCTTGATGCGCACGTGCTTTGAAGGCTACCTCGGGGTGAGGAGGCGGGGGTAAGACGCGGGTTGAGGCGGGAGGGCGGAGGGGAGGGCCGGAGGGAAGGGGGGAGAGGGGGGGGGGGCAAGGCAGGTGCGCTCGCGCCGTGCCTATACGCCGACGGATCCCCTCAACGGATCCCCCGCCGTTGCATTATACACAATAACACAGGAGCTGCGCGCATTGGAGGAGAAGGTGCGCCGATTCGAAAGCAAGGCCCACGCTGCTGCGGGAACACGTTCCGATCGAAAACATCAAAACCATGATGCACAGAGAGGGCGGGACACTTCGAGGACACAGGGAAGGGGAGGAGGGAGGGGCGAGTCCGGTTGGGGGGGGGTCGGAAGGGGGGGGGAAGAAAGGGGGAGGAAGGGAGGGGAGGGGAGGGTCGGAGGAATGGGGGGGGAAGAGGGGCAAGCTGGGTGCGCTCGCGCCATGTCCGATACCCACATCCATCCCCTCCCACCCCTTCCCCTTTCCGCGGACGTCTTTTTCTCTCCGCGGACGTGCGCCCTCGCCGACTTGGCAGCTCAAATCGAAATACCCCGTCGTGTCGTGCGCAATCGGAAGAAAAGAAAAATGGCGTATCGTAGCACCCCGCAATTGCGGATAAGGGTGAGGGGGCGGGCGCGGGCGCCAGTCAACGATCAACGATGAGCCGGCGGACCTCGTGGCCCTCACCTTTCCTGTCGATGGCGCCCCCCTCCTCTTGCTCCTCCTCCTCCTGCTCCTCCTCTTTCTCTTCCTCGTCCGCGTCCTCGTCCTCATCGTCGTCGTCGTCGTCCACCTCCTCCTCCTCCTCCTCATCCACCTCCTCCTCCTCTTCCTCCTTTTCCCCCTCCTCCTCCTCCTCCTCGTCCTCCTCCTCCTCCTCCTCCTCCTCCTCGTCCTCCTCCTCCTCCTCCTCCTCCTCCTCCTCCTCCTCCTCCTCCTGCTGTTCCTCCTGGAAGGGATTCAAAAACAGCCCGCCGCAGGCGCCGAACATTTTGATTTGTACACTGAACGCGGTTTGGGTCGCAGGGTCTCCACCTTGTACGAATGCAAACGAACCCGCCGCAGGCGCCGAAGTTTTGGCTTGCTCAGTGAACGTAGTTTGGGTCGCGGGTAGGTCGCGGGCTCTCCACCTCCACCAGAGAGACAAAATGGGAACAACAAAAAAAAAAACGCAGGCGCCGAACATTTTGATTTGTACACTGAACGCGGTTTGGGTCGCGGGTGGGTAGCAGGTTCTCCAACTGGAACGAATACAAAGGAAGCCCGCCGCAAGCGCCGAAAATTTTGGGTGGGTAGCGAAATGGCCCGCGGGTGGGTCACGGTGGGTCGCGGGTGGGTCGCGGGAGCGGTTTGGGTCGCGGGTGGGTCGCGGGCTACCGATTACCTACCAACCTCTACCGTGCACTGCGCAGCGCATTGGCTATATGCGGGATACTAAGCTTCTCACGTGCTGCTTCCACTCTGTCTGTGAGGCGGAGACTCTGTCCCACCCCGCGTATCCCCCAGCTTCCTGTCGCATCATCAAACACAACTGTTCCACCCAACTCTGTCGAGGCCTGCCGCGGCGTCTCACCGAGACTGCAGTCTCTGGGGTGGTGCCGGCGCCATGGAAAGCGACATTCCTCAGCTCTGCCTTGGACGGGTCTCTGATCACCTGGCCGAGCAAGTTCAACTGCGAACTCCGGATGCTCGCCGATGAACTTTGAAACTGTGCTCTCCTCGAGACTTCATCATTGCTGATTCGGGAGATGAATGCCGGAGGAATGCGAAGGATCTTTCGAAAGCAACGGCAGAAAATCCATCCAACCGGCGCAAATCTGTCTTCATGAGCCACATAGACGCCGTTGCGTATTTCAGTTTCGACACAATTATATTTTGAAACAGCTCGATCTTTCTGGCCAGGCTGATCGTCGCGTTCTTCCAGACAGTGCAGAGCGATCGGAAGTCTGCCGTGGCGGCCCCGATTTGTTCTGCCCACTTCCGAAGTGGAGCGGCCGTCGCTGTGCACTGTGGCCCCCAGGCACTGCATGGTGTCCTTGGCCTCCAGCGCGTCCCCGGTCGGAGTGGTGACGTTCACGCCCGCGCATATCTTCATAAGCTGCAGCCTCCCCCAATGTATCGGGAGGCCGTGCTGGCCACCACGATGGGTGATCGACTCCATCAACTCTCCGACGTGCACTGCCGAAGAGCTAATCAGCAAAGTGTCGTCTGCATACAACACTTCAGAAAGATGCCCTTGGTCGTGCGCATGCTTGGCCGCACGGCCCAGGCGACGGACCGCGTCTCTCATGAGTCTTGTCATCAGAATGCCAAAAAGAAAAGGAGACAGCGGGCAACCTTGGCTGATGCCCGCTCGTTGCTGTCGCGGGCACGACTCGACGCCGTCTTCCACGACTGTAAACTGGCGCACGCTGTAGATCTCCGCCGCCGCGAGGATCATGCTGACCTTCACTCCGAACCGCTTCGAAGCCGCCAGTAAGCGCTTGGGCGCGATACTGTCGAAAGCCTTCTTCCAGTCCATTGCGAGTAAGAATGCCTTGCCGTCCTTCGCGGCCCACGCCTGCTCGATCTTACGCCGGACGATGAACAGAGCATCCTCGGTGGAGAATTTCCGCCGGAACCCAAACTGCGGCTTCACAAACGGTTTTCCGCCCCTGCGGCTTTCAATCTTGCTAGCAAGATCATCGCATATACTTTGCACAACACGCTGACGAGAGGTATTGGTCTGTAGTTATCGCAGTCCGTTGGCCTTCTTGTATATCTCTCTGACTTTGGCCGAATGACACCTCAGCGGAGTGGCTCTGGTTTCCCAGCATTCCTACACTATTGTCGTAAGCCACTGTGCACCCGCACTGTCGACATGCTCCATGCATGCCTTCAGGGCTTCGGCTGGCACCTGGACGGCGGCTCTCCCCGCCTTCCGGTTGCGCACTGCTGCCTGGACTTCTTCCACTGTGATCGGCCCCTCGCGCGTGGGCAGCTCTTGGTCGACTGGTTCCTGCGCAATTGGTGCCGTCAGCGGCCGGACGGCCCATTGGATCATCTCCAGATGCGCAGCAAACGTCTCTGCCCGATCACATGACTCTACAAGCACGCCGTCTTTGTTGCACAACTTCCCTCCTACAGGCTGCCTGGGCCGGCGGAGCTTTTGCACTGGTGTCCACGACCCGTCGGATGCCAAATCGTCGAGCCACTTGCCCCTGTCTGTCTTCGCGCTGCTCCGGATGAGTTTGTTGAACGATAGTTCCAATCGTCTGTCTCCGTTCGTTCGGGCTGATGTCCTCTTCTCGATTAACTCTAAAATGGCCTTGCTGATCCATGGCCTCCTCGCTGTCGCCCGGACGGACGGCACGGTGTTTTTAACAGCTGCGGCCATCGCCGCCTCGAATCGCTCTACTGTGTCATCAATACTGGAAGTCGGCATGCGCAGCCCCTGTGTTGCCAATAACTCGAAGCGGTGGCGGAAAGCGTCCTTCACGGTCGGGTTCTTGCCCAAACTGTGCATGTCGCAACGGCTCTTTGTCTGCCGGACTGTCTTTTCCACTTCGACAGCAGTCGTTGATTCGACCAAAAAGTGATGCGATTGAACAACTGGCCGACGATCGATCCCAACCCAGCCGACGCGCCAGAGCATGTCTTGCGGAACCAGAAACAAATCCAATTGAGCGAAGCTTCTATGTGAAATTTCGTCCACCGGTCGCTTGCCAATGTCGTAATACGTCATTTGTTTTTCCGGGTCATCCTGCACAACATCATTTGCGACCGCGAGATTCGTGGCCACGCAAGCCTCGATGAGTAACTCCCTATTGCTGTCGGGCTGTTTGTCGTAATCGGCCTTCCCGAGAACGTGCGGTCCCACCATGTCCTCCTCTCCAGCAAATGCTCGGTGTAACCTGGCATTGAAATCCCCAACGACCAGTTTCATCCCATGGCAGCTTAAGGACGAACGCTGCTGTTGAAGCTCTGCGTAGTGCGCCTGCCGGGCGCCGATATCGTTTCCACTGTGCGGCGCGCAGTTGGTTA